GTACCAGCGCAAACTCCAACCAAGGCAGGAAAATGTTGACAACCGAGGGCTTGTAAATTGGGACCTGCAGAAACACCATTTTGTTGGGTTGCATGGCAACCCTATAGTTTTGGTACAACATTTTGGGGCACTGCTCTAAAAACACTGATTTTTTTGTTGTCTAAAAACGTGATTTCTTTTGTTTTTTGTATTAAAACCACAGGCTAAAATAGCAAGGGGGGGGCTTCAAGAGCGCCGTTCTTGAAAGTGGGCACACTTGAAATAAACTAGGGTGCTGGTGCGATACTGCCATAAGAAGTTTGGGGCAGATGTCCAGATTTGAACCACAATATTACCCACCTACTTTGGGTTGGGCGATATGGAAACGCGTGCGACGAGGGGGCGAAGCCATGTGCGACAGACCAAATTTCCCACCAAAATGGCAAGACATTAATTCGATTGTGTCTGGGGCGTGTTTAGGTCAGATCGGGTCCCGGGTCAAGTTATGCAAATGGGCAAGACTCTGACAAAACATGCATAGAGAGTGGGCTATTTGCGTCAGTATGCGTAAAGTGAGAACGGGGTTCTGATCAGGTTGACGCCAAAAGGGCTTGTGGAACCTCGACACTCATTTGTAAAATATAAATGGTGTGTAACTCATTCCCTGGAAAACAATATGAATATTATATAAATTTATCAATATTACAATGGACTTGTATGCAAAATGCATTTTACACCGTTGTGGCTTCCTTAGAGAGAAAGTCGACGATTTATTGCAAAATTATGCCATGAAAAAATGTGACAAGCGCGTACATTATCACTGCCTTCGCCATTCGCAGAGCTTGAAATGGCAGCACGGGCAACATTCCCAGCACCAGTGGCAGCAGATAGTAATGCAGCATTGGCGGCAGTCCTGGCATAGCCTCTGGCTTCAGCTGCCATTGCCAAGCCAGCCATTTGTGTCTCCGTGCCTGTCCTCCACTTCACTGCCCACTTGCACTCTCTGGCCGCTCCAGATACTACCCTCCCCATGCGCGCCCCTGGTCCCCTTTCCCCCCCTCCCACTCTGATCCTGCACCTCTCCATTCTTCAGCTTGTGGCCCCACCCTAGAGTGCCCTTCTCTGCTTCTGATATGCAGTCTGAAAGCACTGCAGCTGCTACCACAGCAGGGGCAGGAGGAACGCCAGGTGCCGTGGTTGCAGCAGCGGAGAAGGTAAGCTGTTGAGCCGAGTCCAGAGGGGAGACAGACACAGGCGCTGGGCGGGGGGGAGAAGCGGGGTGTGGAGAAGGGGAGCGGTGTGCAGGTTTAGGGGTGTATGGAGGGTGGGCGGGGGGAGGGGAGGCGGCAGGGGAGAGAGACGTGATGACAGGGGGAGGAGGGACAGCAGCAGCAGTGGTTACTGCAGGGAGAAGGGAAGGGGATTCCAGGCCGGTGGGGGGACGGCACGCTGCTGCCTGTTATTTTGGCGCTGTTGCTGGTGCTGTGTCTGCTGGATTTTCCTCACATGCCTCCCACTCGTTGCCACTGAGAGAAGGGATCGCATGGCCAGTGTCGGGAAATCCCTCCTCCCTGGCCAGATAGAAGGGAGAATATGGGTGGGGCTTGGGATGGAGAGATGGGGTAATAGAATGGTGAGGGAAAGGGTGACGGCTGGAGAGGGGGAGGGGGAATTGAGAGGGGGTGGTAGGGAATCCAGAGACGGGGAAGGGGTCAGGTCGGGCAGATACCAAACCGTACCCCCTCTCCCTGCCCTCTGTACCCCCTCTCCCTGCGGGTATCTCCCAACCTGCTTATTCCCCAGCCCCCCTCTCTCTCATTCTGTTCCCCTATTCCCTTAATTCTTCCCCCCCTCTTCCCTTCATTCTTCCCCCTCTCTTCTCCTCATTCTTCCCCCCCTCTTCCCTTCATTCTTCCCCCCCTCTTCTCCTCATTCTTCCCCCCCTCTTCCCTTCGTTCTTCCCCCCCTCTTCCCTTCGTTCTTCCCCACCTCTTCCCTTCATTATTCCCCCCCTCTTCCCTTCATTCTTCCCCCCCTCTTCACTTCATTCTTTCCCACCTCTTCCCTTCATTCTTCCCCCCCTCTTCTCCTCATTCTTCCCCCCCTCTTCCCTTCGTTCTTCCCCACCTCTTCCCTTCATTCTTCCCCCCCTCTTCCCTTCGTTCTTCCCCACCTCTTCCCTTCATTCTTCCTCACCTCTTCCCTTCATTCTTCCCCCCCTCTTCCCTTCATTCTTCCCCACCTCTTCTCCTCATTCTTCCCCCTCTCTTCCCTTCATTCTTCCCCCCCCTCTTCCCTTCACTCCGCCAACCATTTTCCCTCTTTCCGCTAAACTCCTCCCTCCATTCCACGTACCTATTTTCCCCATTCTGCCCCCATTCCGCCTACCTCTTTCTCTCGTTCCGAGGTGAGTCATACAGTCGACGGTGTTGAGTGATACTTGACGTGAAGTGATAGACGATGAGAGGTAAGGAGTTGAGATAGGGGGCAGTCAGGGGAAAAACGCCAGGGCTATACAATGGACGTGGCGCCGTGGGGTTCCTCGCGCGACATATGAGGATTGGAGGACGAGGCGTGGCGGACTAGACGCGACGTAATAGGCATACATGACTAGGCGCAAGGGACTAGATGCGAGGGACTAGAGGCGAGGGACTAGAGGCGAGGGACCAAAGGTGAGGGAAGTGACGAGAGGGACTAGACGCGGAGGACTTGGCAACGTACCACATGAAGCAAACGGAAGATTGTGGTTTTTTTAGCAGATCGGGACTAGGGGATGTCGCGCTTGATCACGTGCGGCTAATGGCGGGATCTAAGGTATTTATCCCGCGCTATGACGATGGAATACTCATCATATCCGACAATCAAAACTCGTTTCCAAAGCTCAAGACGCCACCACTACACCTCTGATAGATTTTTTCCGCAGCAAAAACTTTATGGCAATGCCTTGGGCAGTTACTGACTCGTTGCGTCTGCTGTACATTTTTAAATACCTCCCTAGTGTCAAGTGTGGCTGTCTAAGATACTCTAGGTATGGGAATAATCTACGTCTGAAAACCGGTTGCACACCCATGGAGCTCTTGAATGACGAGGTGTGGGGGTGTGGTCGCATAGAGGACAGTTTCAGTTCACTCGTGCGACTCTAGGGTTCGTCGCACCCTGTTCAAACAAAATTGTGCCCTCGCAAGGAGTGCCGAGGTCCACTTGCAGTGTTTCACATTGTCGCAACACGTTTCTTTTCGCGTAGAGGGGAGATTAGTGTTCCACAATAGGCCGTTTATTCTGACCGCAAAAAATCACAGTTTTCAAGAGCGCCCAAGGTGTGCTATTTTAGCCTGTGGTTTTAAATATGTTATTGCAATTTTTATGTAATGGTGTTTTGGGGCATCTAAAAATGATCCTCAAGACTTCCTAATAAAAAATACCAATTGAACATTTAAAGCCAGTCTTCGTATGTCTCTTTTTTCTAGTAGTCGTATTTATTATCATTATACCATGCCTAATATTACTCGTAATATTGAGAGTGAATGTTATTTACCAACCATCTCATTTTATTTTATGGTGAGAAATAACAAAACACTTCATTGCGCTGATGTTTAAAAAGCACAAGAAGTATTAAGCCACATTGCATATTTGTCGCCATGAGCGGATATGTTTCCCAAATTTATACCACCACCAGTTTTGATGGGAGTATCAACTTATACATATTCTGTATGTAGAAGTTATAGGCTAGACTAGGTGTGTGCTTCTATTGAGTACAACCCCAACAGGTACATGTTCTAGGTTTCTCGCACTAGTCAATCATTCTCTCTTTCTAACATGGTATCAGAGCAGGTTAGGTTCCTCTCGCCCGCCCACGCTTCCGCCCTAGGCCCTAGCCGCCCTCATGACCCGTCCCTAGCCGCCGTTGCGCCCGCCCCTAGCTGCCCCCCCTTGGCCGTCGCGTCCGCCCCTAGCCGGCCCCCTGGCCGTTGCGTCCGCCCCTAGCCGGCCCCCTGGCCGTCGCACCCACCCCTAGCCGGCCCCCTGGCCGTCGCGTCCACCCCTAGCCGGCACCCTGGCCGTCGCGTCCACCCCTAGCCGGCCCCCTGGCCGTCGTGCCCGCCCCTAGCTGCCCCCCTGGCCGTCGCGTTCGCCCCTAGCCGGCCCCCTGGCCGTCGCGCCCACCCCTAGCTGCCCCCCTGGACGTCGCGTCCGCCCCTAGCCGGCCCCCTGGCCTTTGCGCCCGCCCCTAGCCGCCCCCCTGGCCATCGCATTCGCCCCTAGCTGGCCCCCTGGCCGTCGCGTCCGCCCCTAGCCGGCCCCCTGGCCGTCGCGCCTGTTATAATCACAATAGGCTTAGATGTGCCTATAATGAGAGATAGAGAGCACAGTCGGATTTCCGTCAGACGGCTTCAAATATTGATAACGATCTGGTCACTGAATCAAACGGTGATGTGTAAATTGGATCTGGAGCGCGTTGCTGTCGTCTATCAGCAGCAAGTTGAATCATGAAATTCCATGAAGATTTGACGACGCTATGGCGGTTTGACTGGCAGGAGGTAAAGCAGCCACTATAGTCTTAGGAGTACAAACTTAGCAAGAAGAGTTCGAGAGGGAGATGGTTCCCAGCCTCTACATACCCCAAGAGCCGAGGTCCAGGTTGGTGGTACACCACCACAGAGTCCCCAACCATGAAGAGTCTCGAAACCAACCCTCCAAGGGGCTACACCAAGTGAAATGTAACACTACACGAAGTAACGTTACTATTTTCACTATTTAATATTTATCCGCGTCCCTTGGGCTTGAAATCTTGAGCTCTTGTTCTTGGATCTGCAAGATAATTTCTTCTTGAGTTGATGGGGGCTTGCTGCACACACCTGCAACACGATGGACACTTCACACTCGACAAAATAGAAAAAACACATGCGACACACAAACGACGACTTGACATGCGAGTTGTGAAAACTCGCTAATGTCTTGACCGACACAAACCACATTGTGATACACCATTCAAACACACACACAAGCACTGGATAGCAATGACATAGACTCACAATTCATTCCATGCCATGCATGCACACACACAAACAAGGACGACAAGCCGAGTGCAAGCCATATGGTTGCACCAACAAACTCCCCCTCGGATTGTTGGCCGTAGAATCTGCTCCCCTTAGTTCAGAGCCATCCCAGCAAGCTTGCAACACTTCCAATGCTGCTGCTCAACCAGCCTCTTGGTCATCATATCAGCTGGCTGTGCCGTCGTCTTCACGTAGTGCAACTCCACTTCACCCGCGGTTACCATGCTCCTCACCCAATGCCACTTCACCTTCATGTGCTTGGTAAGGCCAGGAAGAACGGGGTTCTTAGCCAATGCAATAGCACCCTGGCTATCACAGTAGAGTGGGGTAGGTCCTTGCTGCTCCTCCCCCAATTCAGCTAGCAAACGCCGCTGCCACACAACCTCTCTTATGGCACGGAAGAGTGCCATGTACTCGGACTCCACCGAGCTCAATGCTTGGTCCACTTGTTTCTTGCTCTCCCAAGCTGTTGGTCCTCCACCAACACAGCAGATGAAGCCTCCCACACTTGTCATGTCCTCTGGTTCTGATGCCCAAGATGCATCAGAGAAGGCGGTGAGAAAGAGCCTCCCGGGTTCGACTCCATCCGCACCCTTTTGACGCCTTTGTGCCGCCGCGGAGTATTGCAGTCCAACAGTTGCTGTTTGGCCAAGGTACTTGGCCACCCTCTCTCCAGCTGCTACCTGCTCTTCATTAGGGCATTGGACAACCCTAGCCAGCTGCCCGGTAGCAAAGGCTGCATCCGGCCTTGTGTGAACGGCCGCATACATGAGGCTGCCCACCAAGGAGTGAAAACGCCGCCTCTCCTCTTCACCAACACTTTCCTCCGCTGGTCCTTTCACACACTTGAACCCTGAAGGAAGAGGAGTAGCCACATGACCTTCACTCTTCCCAAAGCTTGCAGCCAAGGTCTCCAAGTACTTCTTTTGATGCACTCGCATCCACCGCTTCTCTACATCTCGCTCAATGTGAAGCCCAAGGTAGTAGTTGACGTCACCAAGGGTCTTGCACTTGAACTTGTCTTGAAGCTTCAGCATCACCTCCTTCACAAGGTCAGAGGAGGGTGAGAATATGAGGATGTCATCCACATAAACCACCATGAAGCTCCTCTGCTCCCCCTCGCCAAGCATGAACAAGGATTGATCGGCCATTGAGGGAGTGAAGCCGATCGCCCCCAAGACTTCCCGCAGCTTGATGTACCATTGCCTAGGGGCTTGCTTGAGGCCATAGAGTGCTTTCTTCAGCTTCCACACTCTGCCACTCCCATCATTGTACCCCTCTGGCTGCTCCATGTAGGTCTCTTCCTCCAAAACGATGTTGAGGAAGGCCGTTACAATATCCATTTGCTTCACCACCCATCCTTTGATGGCCGCCGCGGCGAAGAGGGTTCGAAGGGTTGTACCCTTCACCACAGGGGCATACACTTCATTGTAGTCCTTCTTCTCTTGCTGCTGATACCCCTTGGCTACAAGTCTGCTCTTGTAGCGCTCGATGTTGCCGTCGGCGTCGGTCTTGCGCTTGAAGAGCCACTTGGAAGAGATCGCCTTCCGTCCCGGAGGTAGATTCACCAAGTCAAATGTGTCGTTCTCTATGATGCTCCCCATTTCTTCATCTGAGGCCTTCTTCCACTCCTTCCCATTGGGGCCCTCCCAAGCTTCCTTGGGATTTGTAGGCTCCCCCGGCATCTCCACCGGAGAGAAGAAGGCAAAGGCGCACTCCTCGCTTTCATCTTCCGCATCATCGCCTAGCATGAGAGCCGAACCGGTCAAGGTTGAGTTGGCTGGTCCTCCAAGCCGGTCATAGCTCAACCTATTGGGGGGCTGAGTCCTCCTTCTCCCCCTTCCTTCCTCCTCTGCTGCAGGGACTTGAATGCTCTCATGGCGTTGCGGTAAATCCGGTCGGTTCCCGCGAGCACTTGTAGCACGAGGCGGAAGTGACGGTGCATGCTCATCACCTTGCTGCACCTCCTCCTCCTCCTCATCCCCATTCATTTGAGGAGATTGCCTTGTGACTGTGCTGTTGCTACTCAGCTCCAAGGGCAGCTCCACATGCTCCAAGCCGGTACTCTTCACCTCTCCAAGCCGCACACCAATCTTTGCTTGGTTCTCCGCCTTCCACTCCTTGTACAGTAAGTTCTCCATGAACTTGCAATCTCTGCTCACCAAAACCTTCTTGGTAAATGGGTCCCAAAGAAGCCATCCCTTGGTGTTTTGAGCCATGCCCAGGTGCACGGCCCATGTTGCCTTGGCATCAAGCTTGTTGTGCCGAAGTTTCTTAGGCACAAGTGCCATGCACATGCACCCGAACACCCGAAGCATATCCACCTTCGGCTTCCTTCCAATCCACTCCACATAGGGCACCCATTTGTCTTCTCCCACGTGAGTCAAGGCTCTGTTCTTGGCCACACAAGCATGACGCACCGCATCCGGCCAAAAGTAATTGGGTAGACTGGCTTCAATGAGAAGTCCCCGAGCCGTCTCCGTGAGTGTCCGATTCGCACGCTCGGCGATGCCGTTCATTGCAGGAGAGTAGGGCATGGTAAGAGAGTGCCTTATGCCCTGCTTCTTCAGCCAAGTTGAGAAATCCTTGCTCAGGAACTCTCCCCCACGGTCAGTGCGAATCGCCTTCACAAGTCGGTCTTGTTGCCGCTCCACCATCGGCAACCAATCGGTCTTCACCGTTTCAGCTACGTCACTCTTCTTGGGCAGCACATACACCCAGGTCATGCGAGTGTAGACGTCCACAATGGTGAGGAAGTACTCTGCTCCAGCAGCTCCAAGCTTCAAGGGGCCCACCACATCCATCACCACCTCATCAAGTGGTGCCTTCGCCGTTGTCTCCGAGCTATGGAACGGGTAGCGGGTGAACTTGGCTTGCATGCATGTTGGACAGCCAAGCACCTCATTGGGCTCCCCTTTGACATGAATCCCACTGACCATCTCTTGCTTAACTATCTGCTGCAAAATGGGCAATGCCACATGCCCCATTCGCCGATGCAAGGTCAGCCAATCACACTCTCCCGTAGCGGAAGTCGGGTTGGAGAAAGCGGCACTCGCAATCGTGCCCCACAAGCTCTCTCCTTTCTCCTTTGCCGCTGCTGCTTTGCTGATCTTAGGCTTATCGTCCTCATTTCCACCACCTTTGGCTGCTGCACCATTCTCCTTGGGTTCACACGCCTTGCTGGTCTCTCCAAGGTTGCACTCCTTCGAGTCACTCTTGGTGTCACTTTGTTTTCCGTGATCACCGCCACCAACCGCTTCACTCTTGGTGCTGACGCTTGCTGCCACTTGCCTCCCCTTAGGCATGGGGACCACTGGGATTTGCCACATCTCATTGTAGATGTCCCTGTCCTCATGAAGGTCCCAAAGCTTCCGCTCACCAAGCCTCGCGGTATAGGTTTTGGAACTCTTGGAAGATGTGTCCATGCCGGCCTTTTGCGAACGCTGAACAGAGATCAGGTTGGCTGCTAGGTTGGGCACCCAAAGCACGTTCCTGAGGCCCACCATCTTCCCATCAGCACCCTTGAACATGGCCTTGCCCATGCCTTTCACCTCTGCTCGCTGCCCCAAAGCCGATGTAACATGCTTGACCGGCGACGGTTCAAGTTCGGTGAGCAAGTCCGCACGAGGTGTCATGCTATAGGTGGCGCCGCTATCGATCACCCAAAAGTCCAGAGAGTGAAGGGTGACCTTTCCCACAGTAGCTGGCTCCTCAAAGCCTTCCACACCTCCTGCTGCAGCTGCCGCTTGCGTGGAGACAAAGAAGAATTGGCCCGGGTATCGATCTTCACTCGAGTCCTTGTCGTAGTCTCCACCTTTCATGCTTGCCGCTTCGCCTCCACGGTCACCACGGCCTCCACGACCTCTGCCTCTTCCTCCCCTTGCTCCTCTGCCCTCTTGGCCTTGAGAAGGGGTCCATCCATCAGGCAATCTGAAGCAATCTCTCCACATGTGGCCGGTCTTGTGACAAAAGTGGCATTCGCCATCAAATCGACCGCGCCCACGCCCGTAGCCATTGTTGTTGTTGTTGCTGCCATATCCTCCATTACCACGGCCTCCATTGAAGTTACTGCTGCCAAATCTTCCTCCTCGCCCTCTGCCCCTTCCACGGCCGTGCCCACGGCCCATGCTTGCAACTCCGGCACCATCGGGACCCGCCAATTCGCGACGGCGGAAATCTTCTTGTAAGATTTCCCGCTTCACATCTTCGAGTGAGAGACGGGGCAGATCTCGATTTAGGTTGATGATGAGCGAGGACCATGAGTCTGGAAGTAAGGCCAGCAGCTTGGTCTTCTTTTGAAGGTCACTGTAGTTCAGATCAGCTCCTTCGAGCCGTGTCAACAAGTCGAAGAATTTCTGCACTCCTTCCTCCACCGGTTCGCCTTCGTCAATTCGAAGTGCCGCCATTTGCCGCTCCAAAACCACAGCCACCGCCGCTGTTGCAGGAACGTGTACACCCTTGAGAGCAGCCCATGCCTTTGGTCCCTTTGCTGGTTCACGCTGAAAAGGCTTGATGTGACGGATTTGGCTGCTCCCCAACGCTTGCCCAAGTAGAAGGTAGCCTTGTGCGCTCTTCCGCACCCACGGGCTCTTCTCCGGGTCGTTCTCGGGGCGCTTCTCCGCTCCTTCCATCACCTCCAGCAGATCATAATGGTCAAAGATGTTCTCCATCTTGAAGGACCACTCAGCAAAGTTGTCACCGTTGAACTTGTCAAGGCCAAACACTCTAGGCTCATCCCTAGAGGGTCCAAGGCTAGGTTGCACCGGAGCAACGGGTGGATCTTGGTGTTGACCTTGTGCTTGGGCGTCTTCTCTGCCTCCAGCACCTCTGACACCCCCTTCCTCAGGTCTAGGCATGGTCGAGACGGCTCCAAGGGGCTCTGATACCACTTGTTATAATCACAATAGGCTTAGATGTGCCTATAATGAGAGATAGAGAGCACAGTCGGATTTCCGTCAGACGGCTTCAAATATTGCTAACGATCTGGTCACTGAGTCAAACGGTAATCTGTAACTTGGATCTGGAGCGCGTTGCTGTTGTCTATTAGCAGCAAGTTGAATCGTGAAATTCCATGAAGATTTGACGACGCTATGGCGGTTTGACTGGCAGGAGGTAAAGCAGCCACTCTAGTCTTAGGAGTAGAAACTTAGTAAGAAGAGTTGGAGAGGGAGATGGTTCCCAGCCTCTACATACCCCAAGAGCCGAGGTCCAGGTTGGTGGTACACCACCACAGAGTTCCCAACCATGAAGAGTCTCGAAACCAACCCTCCAAGGGGCTACACCAAGTGAAATGTAACACTACACGAAGTAACGTTACTATTTTCACTATTTAATATTTATCCGCGTCCCTTGGGCTTGAAATCTTGAGCTCTTGTTCTTGGATCTGCAAGATAAATTCTTCTTGAGTTGATGGGGGCTTGCTGCACACACCTGCGACACGATGGACACTTCACACTCGACAAAATAGAAAAAACACATGCGACACACAAACGACGACTTGACATGCGAGTTGTAAAAACTCGCTAATGTCTTGACCGACACAAACCACATTGTGATACACCATTCAAACACACACACAAGCACTGGATAGCAATGACATGGACTCACAATTCATTCCATGCCATGCATGCACACACACAAGCAAGGACGACAAGCCGAGTGCAAGCCATATGGTTGCACCAATAGACACTTAAACTCAACCCGAGCGTAGTTGCTGGTCGTCCTCCGTAGATCGCGGGGCATAAATTATGACCACAAAAATGGCTTCCTCTGCGGGAATCCATACTCGCCGAGCTCGAAACTCCAGGGCAGACAAATTACACCTCCAGGGGACCTTGCTTCCTTCCCTACTGTTGCTGACCTTGCCACTCACCTGCGCGCCCTAGAGTCTCGCTACCGCACTGCTAGCACTGCTGCCCAGCTCACTGCGCTCCCTCCCCCCTTCTGCATGACCCTCTACTTTATCGCTATGCGCCTCCCTGACCGCCTTGCTAGTGCACGCGACCACATTCTTAGCCAGCACCCGGGTGATCTCACCCTGCCAGACTTTGTCACCGCCCTGACCGAGATCGAGACTCGCCAGTGCACTATCGCTCAGTCGAGAGGTGCGCTGGAAGTCTCCATCTTTCACGGCTGTGCCCCCTCCCAGTGCACGTTTACTGACGTTTTGGCTGCGGTCGCCACTGCGACCCCTCTGACCAAGACTACAGCTACGGTACACCCGCAGCAGCGCTCGCGCCGCGCCGGTTGTGGCCGCCAGGGAGGGCGTGGTGGTGGAGCTGGCGGTAGAAGTGGTGGTACCGGGGACAGTGGTTCTACTGAGGGGACTGCCTCAGCTAGTCAGGAGCAACAGTCATCGCCCCAGCAGCAGGAGCAGCCGCAGCAGCCGTTGCAGCAGTCGCAGTCGTCGCAGCAGCTGTCCCAGCCCCAGCCGTGGCCTCCTCTCCCCCCGGGGTTGGCCCGGAACCTCTATAGGTGGTGGCCGTGGTGGCGGCCCGCGCAGCCTGTTGTCTACCGGCAGCTCCGTTGGTGTGACCTGCCACTACCAGCTTCGGACCGGGCCTCTCGGCGGCACTCTGTGTTGCCGCTTGCACCTGACCGGCTGCTGTTTCCGCTGCCTCGACGATCTCTTTCGTCGTCGCTTTGGCCCGGCCCCGGACCTCCCCGACTGGCACAGCCTGCTTCGCCAATGTGTGCCGATCTTTGATTTAGGTATGGATCAGATAGGTGCTGCTTTGCATGCCTTGTATGCTAACGCTTCTCGTGTTCCTGGATCTTATTGCCCTGTGTACTCTAGTTTAGGCGTAGCACCTTTGTGTAGCTTAGCCTCCCCTGCTGCGTCAGGCGTAGGATTGCCTAGTTTGCCTAGCCTAGTTTCTGCACCGGCTTCGTTCCCGGCCTCCGCTACTGCCTCACTGTCCTTCACTCTCGACTCCTGTGCTTCTGCCTGTTTCTTCCGCACCTGTTCCACGCTCACGCCGCTTGCTGCGCCTGCTGTTGTCGCTCTTGCCGACCCCTCCGCGGGTCCTGTCGTCGCTCGCAGCTCCACTTCCCTTCCCTATCCAGCCGTTCCCTCGGACTCTCTTACAGGCCTCCACATTCCCTCGTTCTCCAGGAACCTGGTTGGTGTCGGCCGTCTTCAGGACCTCGGCGTCACCACTACGTTCCCTGGGCACGAGCAGTTCACTGTCTGTACCGAGGCAGTCTCAGGTTCCACCCTTCCGACGTTCCCCCGAGACCCGGTGTCCGGTCTGTTTACCCTCAACACCGCTTCCCCCCCGGCTGGTGCGTCCTCCCAGGTCGCTGCAGCTTGCTCGTGTCGGTCCCTCACACACCCGTCTCTTCTATGGCACCACCGCTTAGGTCACCCTGCTCTCCCACGCCTGCTTAGGCCTCCCTGCGTCGCTCCCCGCACTTCCTCCCTCGACTACACCACCGCACGCCTTGCGTCGAGGGCCGGCTCCACCGTTCTCCTCAATCCTCCTTGCTTCGCCCTGCTTCTGCTCCCCTTCGGACCTTGCACCTGGACGTTTGGGGCCCAGCCCCCGTCCCCGGACCGCGGAGTGAGCGCTACTTTATTGTGCTTGTCGATGACTACACGCGCTACACCACGGTGTTTCCCCTGGAGCGGAAGGCCGACGTGCCCGACGTTCTTCTCCCGTGGGTTGTGGCTGCACGTCTTCACCGCAATCTCCCCGTGTTGTGTCTCCACTCTCACCGTGGTGGCGAGTTCGCCTCTGGTCGGCTTGGACAGTTCTGTCGTGCGGAGGGCATCACCCAGTCGTACACCTTGCCGGACTCGCTACAGCAGAATGGAGTTGCTGAGCACCGCATTGGCTTGGTCATGGAGGTTGCTCGCACCTCCATGATTCATGCCGATGCCCCCCATTTTCTGTGGCCGTTCGCTGTTCCCTACCCTGCTCACCAGCTTCACCTGTGGCCACGCTCCCAGTGGCCGCAGGTTTTGCCGACCCTCCTTTGGACCGGGTCCCCCGGTGACGCGTCTGCGTTCCACGTCTGGGGCTGCCTTGCTCACGTTCGTGCCTCTGGCACGGACAAGCTCACAGCCCGCACTGTCCCTTGTGTCTTCCTCGGTTTCCCTCTGGACTTGTCTGACTGGCCCTTCTACCACCCGCAGTCTCACCGCTTCCTTCACTCTCGTGACGTCACCTTTGACGAGTCTGTCTCCTTCTACCGTCGCTTCCCTCACCGCGGTCTCCCGGTTCCCCCCCCCTTGTTCTTTGCTCCCTCTCTCCCTGTAGACCCTGCTCCCCTCCCGCCTCGTCCTGCCCCGTCTGGTGTCTCCCATGTCACTCCCCTCCCGTCGGTTGTCCCCGTTGAGGAGTCTGCTGACTCTGGCGGCCCCCTAACCCGTCCTTGCCGCGTCCCCATTCCCTGTTGTCTCCGCCTCCGCTGTCGCAGACACCGCCGCCGCTGACGCCGCCATTGCAGCCGCCGCCGCCGTCCCCGCCGCTGTCGTCGCTGCTGCTCTTGGCCTCTGGAGGTGCTAGCGTTGAGGAGGGTGTTCGTCCTGCAGCTCCTGGCGTGGTCTGTCCTGGCAGGCCTGGGGGTGCCGCTGGGGCTGGAGGGGGTTCTCGCTCTGGGGGTGGTTGTTCTGGGGGTGCTGCTGTTGAGTGTTCTCCCGGCGGTCGTCCTGCCCCAGCCGGTTCGAGGGTCGAGCACCAGCCGCCGCAGCAGCCGCCGCAGCCATCGCCACCGGTCTCCGCTCTTCGCCTGCTTGGCCTTCCCTCCCCTAACAGCTCGCCGGAGTCTCCCCCACAACCTTCTCACCTTCCTATCTACGGCCCTGTGTTCCCGCACACGGACTCGTCTTCGGCCCATCTTCCTCCTCGTTCACCTTTTGTGTCCCCTCCGCTGTCGTCCGACCCTACACCCCCTTCCCACGTTTGGTCCCGCTGTCCCTCACGTGCTCGTCCGTCTCTCCCGTCCTGCGCTCCCACCCCATGTTGCTCCATTCCCACTCTTCTCGTCCTCCCCTCCTCCCCTCGCCTCCTCCCTCGTCGCTTGCTGTTGCACCTCCTCCCCTGTCTGACTACCTCCGTGCCGTTCGTCCCCTTGTCCCTCGGTTTCTTGCCTCTCTTGTTACCGACCCATCTGTTCCTATCTCGCGCCTTGACGCGCTTGTCGCTGCTGTCGCTGACTTCACCTCTACCCACAGCCTTGACTACGCTACCGCTCTGGTCTGTGACCCTGCCCGTCCTCCGTCCATCGGTGGTGCACCTGCCCTTGGCAGTGACGTTCTAGAGGACAGGCAGTACGAGCTTGCTTTCCTTTCCCAGGCCGCTCCCCATCTCTGCTCCATGCTCCTAGTCCCAGAGGGTGACCCAGACACCTTCGACATCCCGACCCCTCGCACTTACGCTGAGGCCACCTCGGGACCTTGGGCGTCTTAGTGGATAGCTGCCATGGAGCAGGAGATGGCATCTTGGAGGTCCACCGGCATTTACGTCGACGCAGTTCCCCCTCCTTGGGTGAACGTAGTCGATGGTCGGTGGCTCTTCAAGGTGAAGCGCCCCCTTGGAGAGCCGCCTGTCTTCAAGGCGTGCTACGTGGCCAGAGGCTTGAGCCAGTGTGAGGGGGTTGACTTCTTCCAGACCTTCGCCCCGACCCCGAAGATGACCACTCTTCGGGCGCTGTTACATGTAGCAGCACAGCGCGACTA